TGTCAATTAGAATATGAAAGTATTTTCCAGTTGGACTAAAAATGCGGGGACGACGTACTCTTGGCAACATGGGTTGTAAGCATTTATGCAAATATTATTTTATGATAATTAATTTTTTTTGCAGATATTTAAAAATAAAGTAGTTTAGCCGTAGGATTAAAATAAGGGAGTTTCACTAAAATACCCAAAATGGGGGCTGAAATTATAAAAATACCCAACACCCAAAACACTTTATAAACATACCCAAAACTCATCATTACACACACTCAAAACCCATTTATAAACATACCCAAAACCCATCATTACACACATACCCAAAACCCATTTTGGGTATGTTTCTATGTTTAAATAGTGCTTGGGTATTTTTATAAATACATGTCTAGGATTGGGTATTTTTATAAATATCTAAAAATAAATAGCGACCAACAAGTTTGTCTTATTTGTGTAATGAAATATTAATAATTGCATGACGTTTTGTGCAGCAGTATAATAGTTTAAAACAATATATTAGTCAATCGAGTTAGATCATGCACAAGAATACAGCCAATAAGTAAAATAATTAGAATATCAACTAACAAGATAACTAAGTACCAACCATTTCCTGCTAGAAATTATAAGATACATGTTGCATAGATACAAAGAAACTTCATGGATACAAACATGTCCATTGTTTAATTATTCATTCATCCGTTACTAATTTATTTGTGACATTTGAATGTGTTGAATCCAAAAACTATTATTAATGGGCAATGCTAAACTCAACGATTAGCTTAACATTTTTTTGAGTACAAACAATAGTCTTAACTACAGGTAAGGAGAGAAGTTAACATTTTAAATCTGTAAAATACCATCTCTTGTAACACGTAGTTAACATAAAAGTAATAATATTTGAATGGTTAATATCAGAATATCGGAAAATTTAACTTTCCACTGTGAAAAGAGGGAAGAAAAAAACCAACTTTGGGTCCGTCCACTGTAAAATGAGAATTAAAATGAAAATCTCGTGCAAAAATGAGAATTGTGCTTCCTAAGCGATTAAAATCTTACAATTCGCATTTCCACGTCTAAGAAACATCTATTTTTGGCTATATGGTGATGAAAAATGATGCCATAAAGTTTTGGGCATTGACCCTCAGGACTCGAAAAAGATTGATGAAATGTATGCCTACTGGATGGGAGAAAAAGAACAGGGTCAGCCACTTCATTCTTCAGTCTGCACTAAATTTACCATAACGACATAGCCAAAATTTGAGGACTGGTTTAATAACAGAACAGATACAACACAAATGATTAAGATCAAAATAACATCATTTGCAGTTAAGAGTTCCCTCAATGTCCACTACCGGCTCCATTCAAAATCTCCTCCATATCTAG